ATTAGGCAATTAATTTAATTTCTAGGTAGCTAGACGCCATTTAAGGCTATAATATAGGTTTTAAATATTTTTTTTTACTGTATTTCTTGAATGGTGCCAAGGAGCGTAGAGGTGGCCTTTACAGATCCTGCATTTAACTCTTCCTAGCAAAGAGAGATGTATGTTATGCTTCTCATATTGTAAATCTTGTAACCCGCAAGTCTAAAATTATAATAATAAACGATAGCGCGATAGCCAATCGCTCCTTCAAAAAACAAAAAAAAAAACAAAATGTATACCAGTTATAGGGAAAAAACAAATAATAATAAAATCAATATTGTTATCTTCAATTTATTTTTTTTATAGTATTTATAAAATATATCTTAAATAAATTAAAAATAAGAAATATAATTTTTTTTTATTTGCTATCTGATTAACTTGAAATATAATTTTTAGTTCAAATAAATATTTCTGATTTTTTTATTTAAATTTTTTTATGAAAAGAAACAATTATATCAGATAAAAATACTTTTTGAATTATTTTTTACTTTTAAAAATAGTTATAAAAAAAAGTTTTTATCTATTAACAAAATATATTAAAATTATTAAAAAAAAATTTTTTTTTTATTATCAATTATATGAATATATATTGTTTTAATATTAATTTCTTTAATTATAAAATCATCAGTCATGTTAAATAAACCATATAGATGTTTTATCCATATTTGCAATATAGTTTAAAATTAATTCATATATGAATTATAAATTATTGAAAATCAAATAGTTTTTGCTTAAGATTTACAAATAATTTTTATACAATTTTGATTTTTTAATACAAAGTAAGTCTATATTTCTTTTAAAAATAAACCAATTATATCTTAAATGCCTTAAAATTATATGTAATATATTTTTTTGTCAAATTATCCATATCGATAGTAGTTTTTAAAACAATTTTTAAAATTTTAAACTTAAAATCACAAGTGCTGCATTATATATTTAAATTATTTATAAATAAAGTTATACTTCTTTTTCAAGAAAAAATTCTTTTCTGCCTATTTTTTCAAATCAATATAACTTATTATTTTCAACAACATCCAATTGATCTTTTAACTAATTTACCTATTGACTAATTTGAGATTTATTCGATTCAAATTTAATTGTGACCTTGACATTATTTGAGGAAAAAACAATCGAACAACATAAACTTTTTGTTGAAAAGTATATGATTGACATTTTTTTTACATTATAATTTATAATTTTATGTATCTTATATTTTTTGATTATCAAAAATCTAAATTTTTTGGTTGCTTAATTTCGGAGATTTACGGTATTTAAAAATATTAAGAAAAATAGAATAATATTAAATTTTTATTTACAAAAAATCATTAATTTATACAAACTTAATATTGTTTTAATAATTTTAATTCCAATTAACTCTTATAAAAAAAATTTTAAACTAGAAAACGTGTTTTAATTTTTTGCTATATATATTTAATTTCTCGTAGAGGTCTTTAAACTATCTTAAATGTAAAAAAATCATTTTCGCCGATCGTATACCTTTTACCTCATTTTTATTTATTACATTTTCCCAAGGAAGCTATCAACGCATTTTAAATATTCTTAAATCTTAATATAAGTGCGTAATCAAATAATTTTTTGCTGATTAACAGGAGGATCATCAGTTTCACTGTTTCCAACAGCCGGAGTGTTGTTCGAAATAGAATTATTATCGAACGTAAAGGTCGAATCATCACTAAAGTCACTGTTTCTCCGGGGATCATTTGTTCTACCGTCATCTTTAGTAAACAAGTCATCCAAAATGGTATTACTAGTCGTATAAGAGACACTTGATGATGGGCCAACGAAGGAATTAGACGCCGATGAATCACTACTGTATGGCACAGGATGATAAAAATCATAGGGAGGATTTTTATAGGGACGTTTCCTGGGAGAATGTGGAATATTTGTATGTCGAGACGTCTGATGAGGTCCCTCAGTTCCGTTCTCATTACTGTTGCTGTTCGAATTATTACTACCACTGCTCATATTTCCACTGCCATTATCAGCATGGTATCCGATAGAAGATTGATTGCTCGAGTATTCTGACGGAGTAGTGATATCTAAATCTTGAGAATTATCTAATTTTTGTCTTTTACATGCACTTCCTGAAATTCGAGCTAAAACGAGCATTTTTAATAATAAACGCCGAAAGTTTTTTAAAATAACATGACAAAGATAGTAATAATAAAAAGTACACTTACACTTCATTTCATTTTTTTCCTTAAACTCCTTAAGGTATTCTTGATATTTCTAAAAGTCAAGGGTAGGTTGATCAATCAATATTGACCCTTAGAAACTTTATAATAAGATACCTATCGAAAATGCTTACTTTCCAGTCATCTGTGGTCTTATATACGGATAGCGCAGAATGATATTCTTCTTTAGCTTTAGATGCCCTAGCCTCTATTATTTCTTTTTCTTCTGGCGGGATTGTCTTCCAACGATCGCCGATTATCTTTGCCATTTTAGGAAAAGGAATGTTTTTTCCACGATATTCTTCACGAACTTTATGCGCGAACATGACATAAGCCGAAAGTGGTTTGACCGGAGCGTTTTTATCACGTTTCGGATGACGTTTGTACTTTCGTTTTGTACATTCACTCGTTTGTAAATCTTGAGGGTCTGATAGATCATCGTCTTTAGATGTTCTGTTTTCTTCTTGCAGAGGGGATTCCGATGTCACACTATTAATGTTGAGTGGTGTGCAATTAATTTTTGATGGAATGTTACTCTGAATGCCATTTAATGCTGTCAAGTTGAAAGTCCAATTAGACTGTATTGCATAATGGATAATGTCAATTTAAATAATAAAAGCAGACGACAATGAATACTACTTTGATTGTCTAATGGAAGATAAATCGGTCGATCCGTAGAGATTCCTCTGACAGTTGCGATTTCCCGTTGCAGACGCTGAGTTAAACGTTTTTTTAAAATCACGATAATATAAAGCGGGTACGATAATAGATGATAAATACTCTTCTATGGCCTCGCTTAACATCCATTGCAATTAAGTCAGCCTCAGTCACATCAAACAGCTATGCCAAAAACAATGAGGTCGTTGCGATTAGTCTAACCGCAGTATGAAGACATTTTTTTAAAAAAATTGTCAGGAATTCTCTATAAACACAAACATCCTCTCCTTTCATATTTTTAGTAGATTATTTGACCTACCGATTGCAATTGGTCAAATCCTTCTGCAACGAATCTATCGTAATAGTCCAAGAGGTTACATCTTTTCAAGAAACCTCGAACTTGGGAAAGAGCTGAAGCGCTCGTCATGCCTTATAAAAAATGTGATTATTGCGTGGTGCGTAGCTAGGTATTTTACGAGAGAATACGTATATACCTTAAAATTTAGTGTATATATTTGATTAAAGGAAAGAATTCATAAAAAAAGCTGTTTTATAATTCATGGTTTAAAGAAAAGGTTAGTCATAACATGAGACTGTTGTCACTTTCAAAAAAAAAAAAAATTACTACAACCTATATTTGTATAAGTACTAACTTAACTTAGTCTTCCCGATAGCATACATGAATAATATATTTACGTTAATGATGCTACTAAGAGAGACAACGTATTTTTTAAAGATCTTTCCAGAAAGAAAAAGCGTCACTTTTATATTTGCAAAAATAAAAAATATATATATATTTGTTTATTTGTACATTTATTTACCTGGAGAATGGAAGAGCACGTCAGTGGCTAAATAAATACTTTTATCGGTTCACCGAGATAGTAAAATTGTCCAACATTTCGTAAGGAAGTTCAAAGTGCGAATGATCCAGACCCAAAAAGATGCAAACAGAGTTGTGTACTCACATAATAGGAAATACGCCCACCAATTCCCGTCTTTCTCGTTTGTGTAAATAAGACTACCGACGGACGAGATCAAAATTTATGTGAACTTGTAATTATTCTTTTTAAAGGAACACCTGATACACTTTTCACAAACATATGCGCATTACTTCCCAAGCAATACAACAAACATATAACAAATACATCACAAATATTTTGTTTCTCATTTAAAATTGATGAATTTGAAAAAAAAAAAAGAAGCTTTCTAAAAAAGCATTGACGTGTCAACCCTAGCTAAAAGTAAATTATCAAACAATAGGTGATACGGATCTTACACATAAATTACATCATCATACGAAACGATGAAAAAATTTTTGTGGTTCCTCACGTGACCAGACATCAATCCTTTTGGTTTATCAGGAAAAACAATCTTTGAGGACGAAATTGTAAACAAACATCTAATTAAGAGAAATAAAGTTTCAATGCTACCAAGTGAAATCATTATAGGTAATAATAATTTCTACAATAATATTTCTTTTTTATTTCTCCGAGGATATGTGTTTACCTTACCGTGTTTTCTGTATTGCGTCATTGATATTCTTGGTTGGCAATATGTAAGTATGTCGTAATTGCATTAAATCATACGATTTTTAGACAGCCATTTAAAAATGTTAACGCAAATTCATATCATAAATTAGGTTCACAATGGATTGAATTATCGAATTTTTGAATTTTTTATATTGCGTAAGTTGTATATTTAAAAAAAATAATATATTACATATTATTATTTTATTATTATTATTATTACATACGGGCATTTTTATTTAATTATAGATTACAGTCAACACATTAACACAAAAAATTATTATTTTATTAATAATTAATTAATATTTTATAAAATATATTAATAAAAATCAATATATTGTATATACAATGTGGATCAAAAATAATTGGATGGATATTTTTTATTATGATTCAATAAATAATAATTTAATTTTAAATATACTGTATATATTTTATAATCTATTTAATAAAATAATAAAATATTATTAATGTTTAATTAATAAATTTATTTGAAAATATTGATTTAAAGTCAAAAAAAACATTATAAATTATATATATATATATTATAGATGAAAATTAAATATAAAAATAAAAAAAAATTTTAAATTTATAAAAAAATTATAAAAGATTTATTATTATATTTAATAATTATTATTAAAATTAATTTATTTTTTTATTATATAAAATTAATTTTAAACAATCTTTAAAAATTTTAAAACTTTATATTTATTATAATATACATGTATATATTTTTTAATAAATTCAACCAAAATTTAAATTAAAATGAAGTATTACTTATAATTTTTATTAATATTTTTATTAATAAAATAAAAGTATAACTTGTTATATGATTAATATTAATATATAAATTATTATTATTATTATTATTATTATTTTAAAGTGCACCAGTGATAATTGTCTGGCTGAGTATTTATTCAATAACGAT